AAAAAGAAAATTTGGGGGGCCTGGGAGATAGCTCAGTGGAATAATGCTTGCCTGGCAAGCACAAGGGCCTAAATTCGATCCCTGGTTCCCCCCTCCAAAGAAAAAAATTAAGTCTAGCACTATAAAGATTCTGAAGAATACTAATTTCATACTTAAGCTTCTACCTTTAACTGATTTCTCAATTTAGTTTTGACTTTTTCATGTCCCTGTAGATTTGCTGACATTTCCCTCTCTGGGAACTAATGTCTTTAAAAAGTTGATTTTGTTGTGCATTATAATTCTCTCAATTGCCAAAGATGGAGCCAGGAATTGATTGAGTGCTTGTAAAATAGGTGGGAATGAGTACTAATTTCTAAGACAATTGACAATAATAAATATAGCATCATATGTGCAGGTGCATGTTTTTGAATTACATAATTAAGAGTGAGGGCTAGAGCATTCCTAAGACAGTGCTTGTGGGATGCATGCCTGCGTTGAATAGCTGTGATAGTGTTGGTCTCTTGGTATACTTGGACCTTTTTTGTTTTCTGAAGCTTTGACATCTGGGAACATAACTTGCTGGCAAGTATGACCTTTTCGCCTGCCAGCCAGCTAGCCCAGAGCCTTTACCCCACCACCTCCTTCATTCCATCTCACACTTCCAGATCATTAATACCTGCCCTAGCACTGTTGGTATTACTGTCTGATGAGGAGGGATGTCTTTCCCCTCCAGTCATCAAATCAGTAATCCTGTGTCCAACCCTTCACTTCTCCACTGCTGCCTGGGACTCCCTGTTCCAGGTCCCTGGCCTGAGATGAGACTCCCGCTGCCCTCACTGGCCTGCACCCTGTGTGCTATGCATGGCCCCTCTTCCTGGGACCGCTGAGGAGCACAGCCTCTTTGCAGGGGCCACTGCCTCCTCGTGCCAGCCTTGCTGTCCCTCAATAATTATGGGGCTCCCACAGTGCTGCATGGTGTCCATTTGTTCCTGTGAGGACAGGAGAGAAATAATGTCTATGCTTCTCTTAACAGCAAACAATCAGTGAAGGAAATGCTTTAAAATTAACACCAACCATATGCATTTATCTTCTTATACATTTCAAATTGCCATTTACTTCAGGATAGCATTTTATATTCTTCAGATATAATACACACATGTATCAGTTTATTCAATGTGTCTCATTTTTAGAATGATAACTAATTTTCTTTTCTATTTCAGTGAGCAATTCAAGAAAACTTTATCATACAAGGTAACTTTAGAAAGCTCTAAATGTCTTCCTAACACACTCATCCTTTCTTCACATTTTCCCCTCAAGTTTCTGAGGGAGCACCTGATCCGTATGTGTACTTGCACCACTGTGAACATCTAACACGGCTCTGGCCGTTCTGTCCCTCCAGACGAGCTCTTGCAGTGGTTGACAGGGTTACTGAAGGACCCACAGTAGGTGGCTCCCTTCAGGATAATGAGTTACTGCTCCCTGGTGGATGCTGGTAGAATGGATCAAAGTGTGAGTCTGAGGGGAAGGACACCTCATTGCCTGGGCAGTAAGCAGCAGCCGTCCCTGTCACCCTGACTCCTGGAGGCCCGCTGCCCACAGGGAGTCTGTATGTTTTTCAAGGCTGTTCATTATAAAAACAAGGTTGAAAGATAATCTTAAATAGAGGAAAATTGTAGAGGATCAGACAGCAAACATTTCAGACTTTTCTGGTCACAAACATATCTCTTTCATATTCTTTACTGTCTCTGCTATTGTTGTCTTTGTTGTGAACTTAGAACATTCTTAAAGTATAAAACTCAGCCAACCAAAAAGCTCAGCAGATTAAAGCACCTGCAAGTAGGTTCAGAGGCCGCGGTTCCATCCCTGGGCCTGCTGTGCCAGCCCCGTCACCGGGGTGCGCTGAGACCGTAATTGAGGCTGGGTTGGTGGCATACGCCCGTAATCTCAGCACTTGGGAGGCTGTAAATAGAATCACTGTGAGTCCAATCTAATAGCAAGACTTTGAACACCCTCTAGACCCTTCCCTAAAATGCAGAGAAAAAAAGTATAAAACTCTAGGAACTTGGGAGCTGTCCCTTAAATGGTCCCAGCTCCTACCCTTAGGTCACCACCCTGAGTCTGCAGCCAAGGCTGGCTGTGTCCCTTTCAGGTGAGAAAAAGCCAAGAGGACCGTCTCCCAGAGGACTCAGGGAACAGGGCAGCTGAGTCGTCAAATATTTTCTCCACAGTTAAACTTAGCCAGAAATCTTTGCTGAGTACCTGCTGCATAAGATAAATGCCTTCTATATAGAATTTAGCTTTGCAGGAAGAAAAAAAAAATAAAATTCTGATAAAAGAGTAAGAGAATCATATTCTGCCTGAGGTTGTGATTGTCTTCTCTATCTATGGTGAGTCTGGGTTTAGAACACCCCAAGGACAGAGGACATGCTTGTATTTGCCTTTTCTTTAAATCACAGTACTCTAAATTCTTCTGTCCCCTTACTAATGCCAGTTAGTTTGTGGGAATTTAGTGAAAGGTATTCATTCAAGCCATTTCTTTAGTTCCCTACCCTTTGCCATTATATTTTACAGTGAGCATCACAATTTTTAAATTCATAAAAGTTGAGGCAAATATATCCCAGCTTTAAAAATTGCCACCATCATATTTCTTGCCTTTTTTGTAAAAATGGTGGCTTCAAACTTCATGTCCAAGGTACTGAGGGGGAATGGTGAGTCTGAGTTCCACCTGTTTGCTGGGCCCACAGGTGCCTTCACCTGCACCTACAGCTGCTCTGAATGAGTAGCGTCACGGAAGCCTTGTGGTCCTTCTGTGGGAGCCCCAAGGACCACAGGAGCCACAGCCGTTGAGGCGCACAGCTTCCTTTTCTTTCTTGTGTGGTCTAGGGAGCCACATAGCTTGTCCTCTGGCAGCCAGGGTCAAGAGATTCAGGTAGATTTTACAAAAGAAAAGTGTACCTGAACTATTGGTCTTTTAGTTGAACAGATAGTAGCCATAAAATATTTTGTTGCATTTTGTTTCATTTCTTTCCTTTTTTGGTACTGGGGACTGAACTTAGGCTGGCAGGCAGGTGCTTATGCTGCTGAGCTATCTCCCAAGCCCTTTTGTTCCATTTTGGCCAGAAGCAATGGGGCAATGTAACCCTGCAGATCTTCTGTGTCAGCTCTTAACTACGTCAGAAGAGCTTTGCGTGTGAAAGGAATTATTTGGTACCATTTTCCCAAACTGCTTTCCCCAGAAGTACTATTTGTGTAGTTTTACTCAGTTAAACAATGTAGAACTCCAGGGGAAAAAGGAGATAGGTTTTTATTTCCTTCAAAACTTCAAAGCTGAAGATTCAAATAATTCCATATTCCATTACCTTTTCTTTTAGGAACACATGATTCTTTGCAGGTTTGCAGATCAGACAGCAGTCCAGCTCCCACCCCAGCGGAGGCTTGTAGGTACGTGTTTTCACAGGACGGGATCTGTACAACTGTGTTCAAGTTGCCTAGGAGTGGGTAGAGTGGGTCCAACTGGGCAGAACTGGCCCATAAATTAATAAGACATGGAAGTGAAGAGAGCATCGGTTATGACAATATTTATCCCATTTGGGTTAATATCTTTCAATACATTTTCAGTGTTTGTACACTGAAGAAAATAGCTTTCGAACCATCTGCAGGATCTGTCAAAAGGCACAAAAGAAGTTAATAAAGATGAGAAAATCTATTGTACGTGCCAATATTGATGTACTCAAAAAGTCTAAACAAGGATGATGTTTTCTTAGAAAAAACAATTACTCATCAGGACATATATATTCAACATTTGCAGTATTAAACACTGCTTAGATTAGAAAACCACAGAAGCATTTCAAATTTATGAAGTATTTGATAAGACTTTAGAGAAAAATCATATTTAAAAAAATAGTCCAAACTACTGTTGTACATTGAGACACTGGGTCACATGCCCTTACCTAGTGTCAGTACATATGCCAAACACGCTGATGCTGTGCATGCTGCTGCTTATATTTTAATGATGAGAGGACCAAGACGAAAGTCTCCCTGACGTCCTTCTCATGGAGCTGCACTGTGAGCCCAAGTGATGTGACTCTAGACAGCAAGCTCCTGCTCACCCTTGTAGTACTGCTTCTCAGCACACTGGAGTCACCACTAGAAGCTGAGCTTCTAAAATCAGGGCTAAGGTCAATGGGCAAAGCTAAAGCCACCTTCAGAATTACTCAGCAAAGCCCCTGATGGACCTTGTCCCTCCATGCTCCAGAGTCCCAGCTGCCCTGATATGGCCCAGAGTGCCCTGGAAAGCAGACCATTAGCTGGCTGAGTACAGGATGAGTATCCGCTTGGATTCAGAGCCGCGTTGCATGTGAAACGATTAATGTTACACTTGCACAGCAAAGTTAGCGTGGCAAGATGCTCACTCTTGGACAGGCACGCAGGTCCTGAGATGGGGAGCAGTGGTCCCCTTCTCATCTCACTCTGAGTTAGTGCCATGTACCTTTGGTACAGCTCCACCAGACCCTTGGTTCAGTCCACTTCAACTGCTGCAGCAGAAAACCACAGACTGAGTCATTGCAAATGGAAACTGATTTGGCTCACACTTCTGGAGACCAGCCAATCTGAGGGGTGCATCTGGTCAGGGGCTTCTGGCTGAGTCTTAACTTGGGAGAGAACAGAGAAGAAGAGACAAGTGCGGGGAATGTTCACGTGAGAAGGGGCAGACTTGTCCTTTAAAGAACCTGCTCTCGAGATCATGAACCCACTTACTCAGTGCTCACGGCCCAACTGTGTATGTGTCTCTTTGGGGCCCACTTCCCGCCTCTGCTGCCTGGGGCTTGTGTCTCTGACACTGCCGTCTGGGCGACTTAACCCAGCCTTTGGACTCAGAGCAGTCAAATGTGGAGGACAAGGCATGAGTGCTGCACATCAAACCAGAGAGCAGGAGCTGGGGGGAAAGGTGCTGCAGGAGAGGAGGAAACAGGCCCGGCCAGACTGCCGACAGGGAGTGAGGGAGTGGTTCGCACAAAGCCCTGTCAGATGTCTGTCACTGCTTCCCACATGCTTTCTGTGTTAGAAAGCTTTCCAGGTGTCCAAAGGTAGACCACTAACAGCTGAATGTTGGTTGTAATGACACTTAAGCATGTGAGAACAGGATAATGAAAAAGAAAAAGTAACCAGACTGGGATCAAAGCCAGGAGTAAATGAGCTGAAATCTAAGCTCAGGGTGGGTCCTGATGGAATGTCGAGCATCCCGCTCTGACAGAGAATGCTGCAATTTAGACTAACAGGTAGATGGGGGAACACGTACAGTTATCCTGAAGGAGGACAACATTTTGAAGGGAAAAAGAATGTCAGCCATACCGCTGTTGATAAAGCAAACGTAATTTTGCTTAAGTAGAATTCTGAGCATCTCCTTTGACATCAGGGGTTCTAACACAGTTCACTCTGTGTGGCACAGTACTTCAAAGAACATGTGTAACAGCAACATTTTACATCTGAGTCTGCCAGTCCCCATCTGAGTGCACCTTGCAGGTGTTTTTTCTGTGTGGATTCAGTCTTCCACAAAAGTTTTCTATTCCATTTATCTGTCTTCCAAAGGCATTTTAGTGTCACAGTTTCCACTGTCACTCAAATAAATTACTGTACATAAAAATGTTTAGACATTGCTACAGTTATTGAGCGAAAATCAAATGAAGGAGGTTGCTCGCAGTTGGCAACCTTTTCCAAGAGGACAAAGCAACTCACATGTTGAACTTAGAGCACTGAAAGTGTGGATGTAAGCCATGCCACTACCAGAATTCAGCCCCAAATCATTTTTTTCCTGAGCTACTTTTCAAATGTGATGCTTGTGTTTGCCAGGGGAAAAGAGAGCAACTGCTTGGTTTGCTAGTCAAGTTCCCTCTTTCAATACTGAAAGACTGCAAAAGATACAGAGCATCACTACTTTATAGGGACTGGAGAGGTCTGAAAATTAAGACTATATTACACGCAGCATTACCAGTCTGCCTGAAATCATCATGCAAGTGAGAATGTCAAGGATTTTCCATTTCTTATTCATAGTCCAGACAAGACTTCAGGTGGAGAATGTCCAACACCTCTTTGTCAGGAATTCGTGTAGGTATTCTCAAGGACAGATTGTTTTCACAAGTTTAAAAATGATCAAATGGACCGGCCAGATAGTTCAGCGGACTGAAGCGCCTGCTTAGGCAACCTTAGGCAGACACAGGGACCACGATTCAATCCCCCAGGGCCACATCCAGCGCCAGCCTCTCCCCCAGGGCAGGCTAAGCTGGCCACAAGAAGAAAAAACACACAAAAAAAGATCAAATTTTATAGGAACACAGAGGAAAGATCTTTTAAAGAGCTTTTAACCAAAGTAGAAAATAGATTGTGTAGTTCTGATTTGAAATTTACTAATGCAGTTGAAAAGGTTAACATTGTTTATGAGCACAGATAACATGTGTGAAGTGTTAGTATTTGTAACTTCCTTCCGTATCAATCAAGAACTAATTGAAAGCAGCCCAGCGGGAGTTGGGGTAAACAGACTTTACACAGCTCTTGGGGATTTGTCACCACATAGACTAAAATCGCCCTGCTAGCGGAAGAGCAGCGTCTCATGGTGCTGTCTGCCTGTGTTTCAGGAAAGCAGTGCATGTGCCTGGTAGATTTGGATCGAGCGAGAGCTGCCGAAGAGCACGGCTACTCTGTCCGAGTGATATCCATGGAGCCCGAGAGCTGCTCTCCCAAAAATAACATGATCGTGGGAGTGCCCGTGTAGGGTGCCATGCGGAAGGCAGGTGCCTCGCCCTTGGCCTCCGGGAAAGCCCAGAGGCTGCAGGAGGTTCGTGGCCTAACCAAGGAGCAACACTAGCCATCACGAGCTTGCTGCGCTCTGGAGGGGAGCCCCAGGAAATCCTGAAGAATGGCCACCCGCGGCTTGTTGTCCCTGTCCTCATGCGGTGATTGGAGCTGCTCCTTTTCATACTAAGAACACCCGAAATCCCAGCTGCCAAAAAGTGCCAATGGAGGGCCCAGGACTGGAACAGCAACTTCCTTCTCAGCTCATAAGCTTTTCCTGATCTTGCCAACATGATATTCAATTCCAAATAATACACCTGCAGCCTTTATTTTATAATCGCTGAGCTAGTCACACATCAAGACTGAAACTGAACTCAGTGGGAGGTTTGTGTATATTTTTAATAATTGTACTTTTTTAATTACTTTTTTTAAGTCCAGAAAAGTACAGCTTGGTTATTTTCTTGCTGGGGTTAGTTGAACTTTTGTATATCATTTAGTACACTCCGTTGAAGTTAGATTACCAAATAAGATCACTTGTGGTTCAAACACTTTATGTAGAGATTATAATTTCAGTAATTTTCACACTATTGGGAATGTGGAATTTGGACATGAATTGTCACCAAGTACTAACTACGATGATTACTTAATTTAAATTTATAAAAGATAACTTGGGATCCCAATATTTTTAAGACCCAAGCCTATATTTTTTTGAGGATCCAAACCTTATTTGAATAATTCTACCTACATCCTCCTTTTTTACCACCAGCATTGTTAGAGGTAACATGCCTCTCTCACACTGTGTTAACTTTATGTGTCCTGAATCCTTCCAGTCAGGGTTCTACTGGTTTTGATACTTCCACTTCCTGTATGACCCAAGTCATAGGACGAGCGTTTGTTCATTGTCAAGGGTTAAAATGCAAGAATGACTTACAGGGCAGTATGGATGGGGTGGGGAGGGTCTTTGCAATCTTATCTCTTCTAACATTTAAGAAAACTAGCCATTAGCCCTGAGAAACATAGCCATTTGTGCTCATAGATACAACATATTTTTTATCCTGGACCTTTTTTTTTTTTTTTAAAGAAATGAGATATAATTTATGTACAACACATTTTTAAGCCTTTCCTCTGAAAGCCTTTGGCGCTGTATGCACCCACACGATGACCACCAAAATAAGATACGTAGTGTTTATATTATATATTGTACAATACATGCCCTGAAAATATTTTCCCAGCCTATGACTTATACTTATTTTTACAAAGAATGTTCTGATTTTGATGAAATTTATCTTTGTTCTTTTATGATACCTATTTTCTGTGTGCTTTCTAATAAATGTACCTATCCTAAGGTCATGAAGATTTCTCTTTTTTTTGGTGAAACTTTATGACCCTACCTTTTTATATCTATGTCTGTGAACTGTCTCAAATCATTCACATATAGATGTAGCCACGTTTTAAGGAACATACAGTTATTTCAGCACTATTATTGAAAAAATTTTTCTTCTACCCACTGAATTGACTTGATACCATAGGTAAAAATCAATGGGTGTTATTATGAGTCTGAATTCCTAAATTATCTGGTCTATTCCATTCATCTGTCTGTCTTGGTTGTGAAAACTTTATAGTGCATCTGAAAATCTGGTGGTTTATCTTCCAATTTTTATTTTCCACTCTCTAGATTGTTTTGGTAGATTCCTTGTATTTTTTTTTTATGTTTTTTATTTTTT